GCCCCGCCCGCTGTTGGTGGGTACTTCGGTGTTCGTCGACCGGCGGGCGACGGCGAGTGTCGCCGCCACACTATTGAACACGGTCTCGCAACAACCTGTACCTTCCATACATTTGCACACCCTATTCGATGAATGATGCTTTACGATTTCAGGGGTCATGACTTTGGAACGGTATCAGCACGACCTTGAAAACACAATCGTCTGCAGGCCATTTCAAAACGTCATACTAAAATGATTTTCTCTCTAGTTACTTAGCATAGTTTTTCTCTCAATTCCATAACTTGTATATACTTTTTTTGTTTTGCAGCTCACGTTATTGCCTTGTACAAATTACTTCCGTCTTTCCGTCTGTCATCTTTCCATTTCTGAAGTTGTCTGTCTGTTGATCCTGTGATTTGTTGTCTGTTTTCAAGGCATTTCAGTACAAGCCCTTGGCGTTTGACTATGCCTCGGTAGTGAAAATGTCATCTTAGTTACTACTGTTTGTATTATTTTCGTTATCCTTCATTAATTGTAAGCGCGCATCTAACTTCAATGCCTCATACGTGTACTGTCAGAATAAATGTCCATTGAACGAATGAATGAAAAGGCCTTTGTAACAGTAGACACATAGACAAGAAAGACTTGGCACGGAAGCTCCAAGCTTTACACTACATGTAGTTTTTTGTTTTGGGGGGTCCTGGTCTTATTTGCTTGTTGAATAACTGTACTGCCTTAATATTAAACCAAAGTCAATAAAATTAATATCATTTGAGTTTGTTGACACATCATTCATGTTTCATGTGCAATGCGTTGGAATTGTGGCATGACCAACAGTTTCTTAGCTCTCTGATTCACTGATCTCTTTGCAAAGTAATGTTTAACTAAACTTAAGGTTTTGTGGTCTTTTGAAATTTCAACCTGTTTGTTGATTTACAGCACTTTAATATTCTTTGATCCCTTTGCATGGATTCAATTTATTTCCTTTGTTTTAAATTGTACATTCAGGTAATACTACGCAAGATGCATTCGGCCTTGCTAATGAGAGTGCCAGTGTTCAGCTTGGCCTTGTGCACAAACTGCCCTGCCTGTCTCGTCGACCGGAGGAAAGTCCCTCATCTCTCCTTTCAGTTGTGTGGTACCGAGGTAACAGCATCGCTGACCCGGCAAAAGAGATACTCATATCCTACCAAGATAACCACATTTACCCGGAAAGTGACAGATGTGAGTTTTCACCTGACTTTGGCCTCGTTATCAAAGGAATTGAGGAAAAAGACAATGCCACATTTCTTTGCGAAGTCATCCTGAAAACATACGAGGAGAGAGTAAAGGAAATCAGAGTACAAGTCTTAGGTAAGCATTGAAAGATATTTGTTTTTCTCCCGAGTGATTGAGTCGCGCGTGTGTGATCTTAAACCTTGATACATGTACATGTACTCAAGTCGCGAGTCAAACATGAAACATTACATACATGTACGTGTATAGATCCCAAAAGGAATTTTTGTGAAAGCTACTTCAAAGGCATTCATTCATGCCTTTGAATTGTTGAGAAAGTGGCTTGATGACCTTTTGAATTTGTGACAAAAACTTTAGCCACTCAATGAAACCCCGTGTGTTTCTGTTTCTCACCATCAACACACTCAACCTGCATGAAGTGTGTGCTAAATGTACATGTGCGGAATGGATTTTCAACAACTTTCTTTGGAGACTTCAGTGATGTTACATTTGCTCTGTTCATATTCAGATAACTCCTTTCCACCAAGAATCGGTGACAGGTCAAGGCCTGCCAATCTCCAGCGAGGACACAGACACAAGGTGCCATGTCGTGCACCTCAGACCCCAGAGGCACCAGCAGACGTGGTGTATTGGTCAGTTGGAGAGGGCATCACTACCGACACAGAAATCATTGCCGCAAGATTCTTCAAGCATGGCGGTACCAACCTGTTTTTCAACTACGGTGCTGATTTCAGCATCGACAGCGACGCTTCACTTACCGTCAACTCGCTGGAAAGTTTCCAGGAGAACTGGGTGACATTTTGGTGTCACATATTCCAGTCGAATGGCACGCTCAGCAGCTCTTCCACCGAGGTTTATATCTCAGAAGGTAATTGTTCAAAGCAAGGAATCAAATTGAGTTTGTTTTATATGTTACATGTAACTAGCAGATGTTAATTTAGGGATTTCCGATATTGAAAACAAACTTTACAAATCGCAGCCTGAAAATATGAATCATCTTGTGGTTTGAACTTTGTTACACATACATTTCTCACTATCCTCTTGAAAAGGTACATGGCAACATACAAGGAACCTTGGCTGGCGCGACCTGGTCTTTTTGTGTTAGGAATTTATCTGATTCTTCATTTCTCATTCACCTTTGCTTGATTTCATAAAGAGGGGTCATGTTTTCTGTTATTAAAATCCTCAATCTGTCAGCACTTGGACATATTGACCAGTTGGGGACAGTTAAGGCTATACGAAAGTTCAGTTAAAAGTGTAAATTTCACTCCTCCCAGCTTTCACAGGTCTATAATTTACTGTGTTCAACGTTATTCGTGTGTAACGTACAGATGTACACAATGTTTGTAGTACATGTATAGTACGTGTGCATATAACATCTTCTTTGGCTAAATTATGTTGTGCGCACTCAGATCAAAAGTCCAGCACTGCTTTCAGGAACTCGACAACCTCGACCTTCTATCTGAAGAGGGGATCGAAGCAAGTCCTTCCTTGCACCAGTTGGACACGCGGTAATGCAGTTTGTAACGTCCAGTGGTTTCATGAGTTAAGTGAACAACCTGTTGTTAGTTACAACGTTTCGGCCAATATCCTCGAAGTGGATTCCGTGTATGACTTTGCTGGTAGTTTTGGCCTGGTGATCTCATCGGCCAACAGTAGCCACGCTGGACCGTACAACTGCACCGTGGCTTCTACTGATTCAGGAACTAAGATTGGAGTCATCAATGTGTTTGGTATGTCTCTCAAAAATGATGGAGCTGCCTTTTAATTCTCATTTTTCCAATGCTGATATCACTTTGTATAAATTCTGATCTTTCATAAGGCCTTTTCACACTGCATCCTTTCAACCCAGGTTGAACTCAACCCTGGGTGAGGTCATGGCCACCCTGGGTTGAAAATTGGATTTTCAACCCTGCATTAAACCCAGCATCGTTTCACACTTGCTTTGTGTGAATTGGGCTCATCGGGTTGAGTTCAACCCGTACATGAGCACAAATAATTTTCTACCCGGGTGTGAAAATCTCAACCCTGGTCCCGAGCAGGGTTGAGTTCAACCCAGGTTAAAGTCAATGTCGGGGTTGGCGCAGGGTTGAAATTTTCAAGTGTGAATCGCCCGTTTTCAACCCTGCTTCAACCCTGAGATTGTCTAGTGTAAAAAGGCCTATAAACTCTTCATGAGATTTGATATTTGCTTTTTCCTGTAAATTTACTTAGCCATCAATGTGCAAGTTAATTGTGCTGTTTATGCCTTACCGGTCTGTTTATCCATTTTGCCACCTGTTGTTTTCTTAGGCATCATTTTTCCAACAAGTGTATGATCTAGAGGGAAATGTTCCTGAAGTGATTGAGGGTTTTTTATGACGGATGTTTCGCACGTTTCCAGCCTTCTTTCTAAAACTGCCTTGTGATTTAAGAGGCGTCTTTGATTTTATCACTGCACACTTGAGAGCTGCCAAACATTTGTAATGTCTCCATTTGCACATGTAATGACCATGCATAATCAGGCCTCAATGGGCATGATCAATTTTGTTTAGGTAATTTGGCTAATCCCTAATTATTGTTTTGAAATTGTGTGGGTTTCCAATTGCCCCAAATTTGTTTCCAGTTGAATGCCCCAACCCAGGAATGCCGGAAGGAGGCACCCGACGAGGACCCTCTAGCTTCATGCCAGGTGCTGAAGTGTCTTTTCACTGTCTCGATGGCTACGAAAGAGAGGGTTCCACTTTCAGTGTCTGCCAAGAAAATGGTGAATGGTCCCTTCCAGTGCCCAAATGCATCCGTGAGTAAACCCGTTCGTAACATGATAACCGTGAAATTGTGTGTAAAAGCTACCAGTGAAAAAACCATGCAAAGCCTCTGTATCATCTGTGCGACCCTTTCTGTGAGAAAATCACAGTGCCACGTTAGCCTCATTGGCTTTTGCGAAAAAGGCTTTCTTTTTGTTCTGATTGTTTTTCATTTCTCCATTGTCCTTTTTTCAATAGCTAACTGCCTGGAGATAGCAGCACCTGGGAATGGTTCCTTGACCCACTCTACCGCAGAATGGAGAAGGAATGGCAGCAGGATAGACTTCAGCTGTGATCCAGGATTTAGCTTGGTTGGAGCTGCCTCTGTCACCTGTGAGAATGGACAGTGGGATCATCCTGTACCAACTTGCTTTGGTGTGTTTTGTAAAACAATCACAGATCAATCACATTGCTTTGACGTAAAATGGTTATTCAGCAGGGAATTGGCCATCTGACCAACCACATGTGTCAGCTAAACAGACAAATTGTTCTTTGTGTCTTGCCTAACCTGTCTGCAAACAATTTGAATTTCCTCAAATCAATCATTGCTTTTTTGCTACTCTTAATGTAAGCTGCATGGAAATTGTCCATTGTTAACATGAATTACCTCTAAAATGTGGAGTTAGGATTTTGCTTACGACTCAAACTTAAGTTGGGTAGCTGCCACCACAAAAACACAATCATCCTGATAAATGTTTTTTTTCTTTCTGAATTCAAACTTAAGGTACCCATCAATCTCATTACCTTCATATTTTAATTGGCAATTTACTAATGCACTTCAGAAATAAATAACCACTGTTTAATGTTCCACAAATACTAGATGGTAAACGTTGTACGCACTTTGCTTGAAGACTCTGTGTACGGTCAAAAGCACATGTAGACATGCCTATGGTGCATGTGCAGTGTTTGGGAAAATTGATGGTTTTGTGTGGTTGCCAACAAAAGCTTGACCATGGACATAAGATGCCAAATTGTGTTGCGCTTTGCGGTGTTTGCACCTGGTCCATTTGAGGCGTGTTTAAATGTTTGGCCATGAATTACCCTATTTGAGGTATGGCAGAGTGCAGACTTGCGAGGAGGGCGCTGTTTGGTTGGGGTACAATTTCTGGTCAATGCAAACTTACCAATTTCAAGTAGCACCCTCCCGTTGATGCCATTACTGGTATGCTTCAAAAGGGCCAATGCGTTTCTGAACCCCAGCGAGATTCATCCTTGGGGTTTTACACCTTGGGTACAGTACATAATGCAGCAAAATGAGGTTGATTGTTGTTTTGCTCCGTGGGTAGAAATCAGTGGAGTAGTATTTTCTCGACGAAAGTTGGATTGTTCATTTATTTTCATTTTTTTGAATTACAAGAGTCGTCTGACTGGTACCTGTCTGCAATTTTACCGGTAGCAGCTCTTGTGGTGATATGTGGACTCTTATGGAAGAGGAAATGGCTACTTGAAAAATGTAAGTCCAGGTTACGAATTCTGCTGATGCATGTAGGCATCTTAATACCCCAACGTTTTGCCTGGTGGAACACAGCAGAATTCATACACATATTACATGTCATTAAATAAGCATTTTGGTGTATTATTAGATGTCTGAACTTGAATTCTGCAGTAGTGCTTGGAGTAGCTTGGTTGAAGGCTTTTAATAGCCAAACTAATATCTTAATTTGGTAAATACACCTGTTTCATTGACACATGCGAATATGGCAGCATACAGTGCACATGTATAGTCTCTAGAGAAGCCTGTCAGTATTTAATTCAGCTTCTTCTTAGCAATCATATGGATAGCTCTACGAAGTGGAATGTTAGTATTCGTCTTTTTTGATTTTGGACGGGATCATCATACCAATGCTCCACATATAGTAAGGTGACAATGGTTCTCAAAATTCCAAAGACTTACCAAAAATACCTAAATCACCACCTACTGGCTTTGGTAAGTGCCAACGTCAAACGGTTGGGGCTTCAATGATATTTGTGACTTCAAAATCTGTTAAAATCCGACTGTTCCCACTCGAAACACACACAGCATTGAAACTTTTTGCCGCCTCCTCCCATTCAAATATGTGGGTGTAGAGTTTCTGGCGCATTAAGTCTGTGGACAAACATGGTCCCCCAAGATGTACACATAAGTGGGCTTTACGTGGTCTGGACACAAGACTTGTTAATCGTGACCTTTGTGGGTGCTACCAATGACTGTTTCATGGTGCGAGTTGCGAACTCTTTTCTGGTATTACCTGTGGACTGCATTTGTCCAGACAGTTCACCATACAGTTCACCATACGGTTGAAACCCAACCGTTTGATGTTGGCATTTACGGAAGCCAGTAGGTGGTCAATCTTTGGAATTTTTGAGAACCATTGTCACCTTACTATATGTACAGGGGTGTAGCGTTAGTATGACGATCCCGTCCAAATCGAAAAAGAGGAATACTAACGCTCCAGTTAGTAGAGCTATAATATGGGTAACTTACCCTGTCCACACCAGGATATACATGTGGATGAAGCAGATGTTAGGCAAATCAGGTCTTGAGCCAAGACTACATGGAGAATGTACACATGTACCGAGTAATTTGCATGTATGGGCACTGAACATGTCCGTTCTCATCAGTGAGTACAGCAATTGTCATTTTCCCATTGGATTTGAAAATCTAAACAGTTTCTTTTTGAAATTAGGCAGTCACCCACATAAAATCTAAAGCATCAATGATTCTGCATGAACTGACCTGGGGACCTCTTTATTAAAACCCTCGCTGCCTTGTTCGGCATCAGTGCTCTGTGTAAAATATCCTCTACATGTAGATGGAATTTGCATGGTAGCCAACATCCTCGTGCAAAAGCTAACTGGACACTTTTATTTCCTGATTCTAATAAAAAATTGCCAGTATCCCAAAATGAACTTAACCCTTTTCTTTTTCAAAGGTTCAAAGATCAAGGTGCTAAGACTGAAGAGACCAGCTGTGCAGCCGAGGAGGGAAAAACTCCCGTATGTAACCTTCAATTTACAGCGAACTGTATCATGTGAAGGTATACCGGTAAGATGCAGACTCATATCAGAAAGTGAAATACTTGAAAATGGTATTGCAGAGCTTAGACCATGGCATGTTGTCATTGAAGGGAAATGTGGCAGTGGTAAAAGTACATTGCTGCGTGAACTGAAACGTATTCATATGGAGAGCAAACACAAGCTGTGGCATCGAAATGTAGGGGTTCTAACAGATGTTGGCAATTTAGATAATGCACTGACAAGTATAAAAAGAAATGTTTGGTTTCGGCTTCACCTTTCCAATTTATTAATTCTTGTTGACGATTGTAACGGTGAGAATGATATAACAGATGTGTTAGAAAATGTTAGAAACAAAGGCCTCTTTGGTTGTCGTTTGGTGATGACCACTACGAATGCAACTTCAGCACAAAATATGAGTAGAGACTGTGACTTGCGTCACGTTACAATAGGTGGTTTTTCTGATCCACATTCAGGTGAAGAAAGTTACGCACAGAAATTAGGAAAGATTTCAAAAGGAAATTGTTCAGATCTTTTAAAAAGAGATATTTTGTCTCCAAACATAACACAACTTCCAGCCATTTTGGATTCCCTGATTTCGTTGGAATCTAAGACTAGTCCTTTCAATCTGCATTCCACATTTGGAAGTCTGATCGTGATGGCGTTAAAATGTATGTTCGGGAAACTTGATAACAACTTGGCCAACGGTGACTCTGGTATATCAGGCCCGCTCACTGAGCCCCAAACAGCTTTTGCAATTAATTGCGGCAAAGTGTGTTTATCGAGAATGATAAACGGTTGTGAAAATCCAGCAGAGGTACCCAAAAGGGATTTCGTAAATGGTGTTGTAGAGAATGGAATCAAAATGGGGCTTTTCCAAGAGTCTGAAGGAAGGAATTCCAATAGAGAAGATGCAACTTTGCGGACCAATGCTGATGGTAGTTTGAAATTTGTCTTGGAAGTATTTGCAGTGTTTTGTGCAAGTAAGCATATGGCCCAAAATGTCCAAGAGTGGTTGCCTAGAATAAATGGCAGTAATGTTGAAAAGTTTGAGAACTTGCTGGTCTTTGCTGCATGTAGTTCACAGAGTCATGATACTGCTCACACCATTGTGAATCATTTGGCTGGGATCATCCACCAGGAAAGGGAGGTCATTGATCAATTGAGAGATCGGATTCAGCTGGAGAAGTTCATTGACGTTTGTTTGGAAATCAATTTTGAAGGAAGGATGGAGGGCAGGTTAAATGATCTATTTGCTCAGATTTTTCCTGAAGGACGGCTTTGCTTCACTGGCATGTCTGGCCGCAGGCTCAGATGTTTGGCGTACATGATGAAGTATGCCTACCACCCAGATCATGAGCAGAACGTGAATCGCCTACGAGACGATGAGCAGAACGTGAACCGCCTACGAGATAATGAGCAGAATGTGAACCTGAAGTGTGTTCAGTTGTGTCGTCTTGAGAGGCAGACTCCGGATGAGTTCAGAGAATGTACTGAGAGTTTGTATCCCGGAGCTTTCGGAAACTTGAGAGCTGGAGATGAAACACGGTTTGCATGTGAAAACCGTGAAGCGGTTGCACGTATGACTGCAGTCCGACGACAACTAGAATCAAGAGAGAGATATCTACCTAGGTTTCCCTCTGACCTTTCGGACGGAAGTGTCCTTCGTAGCATCCATTCCTGGGGTTTACAAGAGATCACAGAGTTGCAATATGGTGAATGCCATTCATCTACATCAGCATCAGAGTTTGTTCGATATCTCCTTCAACTGGAAGATCTCGATTCCATTGTTCTTTTGGGGACAATTATTGATTCCCAACAAATTCGTGACCTTGTCCACGCTCTTCATAAGTTTAAAAAATTCAAGAGGATAGATTTCCGTTTCAACAAGGAAATGGACAACAGGGCTTTTAAGAAAGCAATGCTACGGCTTTCTGCTTGTAAAGACCTTGTTGACCTGAGGCTGTCTCTGTACAAAGTCGATGGCAAAGGATTTTCACAAGTTACAAAGAAGATCTCGAAAGTTGAGCCGCTGTTAAGACGGTTAGAGACACTGCATCTTCTTCATGTTAGTGCCGTTGAACCTTTCTGCGATTTCATCCAAAAAATCTTGCAATACATGAATAATCTGCAGTGTATCCATGTATCTGCCCTGGCTGAAGATGAAAACCCGGATGCACGTATACCACACATGATCGTTGAAAAGATCCGGCAGGAAAAGCCGAATCTCAAGGAGCTTTTTGTTGATGGCAAGAATGAATTAACGTCAGAAAGAGGTGTTGCAGATGCTTCATCCACGTCATCAGGGTCGGCCGTAGGCAGATCAGGAGATGCGATTTTAGAAATGGAATCAAAGCTGTGAACTCCGTGGTTCCAGTTCAGGGTTCCCATGTTCTGCATGTTGGGCATTGCCTGACATTCATTTATACCTCTGTACCAACAGAGGGCTCAACCAATCCTACATGAGTTTTAATATCCAGAAGATCCCTAGATGTCCCGTCTACTACAAGCATCAACTCCAAGACTTAATCCAGTCAACACAGCACCTTCATCAGACAAAACTGGGATGATCACCTTGAGAGAAAATGGTGTCCCAAGACAGACATTGAGAGCACGTCTGTTTTTCATACTCCAACCCAAATGATGTATCACTTGGTGATACCTGCTGACGATACCGCGTATTTATATACATGTTCATGTGTTTCCTCCTGCATTCATTGTTCAGTGTCACTGAAACATTCTGATCAGGATATACTTATTCCGCAAGACGGATTTGTTAAGAGGAAAATACTTTTAGGTCAATCATCCTATCCATGTATTTTCATTGAAAGATGGCAGTTGAAAACCCGTGCACTGCTGTGAAATTTGCCAACACTGAATATTAGACAGGTTTTTACTTTCTCCTTGATGTGTCATTTATACTTGGTGGAGTCGCATGCTCCTGGGGTTCGTCCTTGAACTCAGAACTCGAAGTACATGTTCAGCGTTTGTTCCAGCAAGAACTTCCAAAGTCATCTGTGGTCCTTATGTTAGATTCACTCATCAGTACTCGTTATCCAGTCACTGCCGCAAGAAATCAAAGGGAGCAATAATCTGGAAAATGACTGATATGAATACACTAATAGGAATACACTGATAGGAATACACTGATAGGAATACACTGATATGCTGTGGGTGAAATCCGTTGATGCCCAGTCATCCGTTGATGCCCAGCCATCTGTGTTCCCGGCACCTCTGTACTTACACTTATCTGAGGCTGCTTTTAAGATGTGATGATGCTTCTTGGGTTGTAGCTCTATGGTGATACACAAGTGCAATATTTTGTACCAAAGTCATGTACTGTTCACGTTAATGTACTTCTGCTATTCAACAATTTACGAACGGTGTAGTGTGATGCTAGGGCTCTTTTTTAATTTTCCAGTACTAGCTTTTATATGCTTGCTTTAATAAAAGACGACCTGAAGGCACAGGGAAAGCTAAGTGCAATCTACTTACGTTAAGATTCATGCCTCCTCTATATCTCCAGTTTTCGCAAGGAGATTTTGCCAGGTTTACTATCAAATGCTGCCTTACTATTGTATGGAATATTGCTCAAGTGCAATTGTTTCCTGGTAATTTTAATTCATTTGGAACTTGCATGCTATTCGGCTTGTCTTTGTATCAACTTACAAACTGCTTCATGAAGCCTATAAAATAAAATTTACCTGCCTGTTAGCCATTGTTCTTGCTGCCTACAGGTGTTATTGAACAGCCAAAGTATTTTGTTATATGATTTACTCTGCCTTAAAAACATTTTTATTGAAAATGTCTCTTGTTTTGTTATACACACGTAGTCTGAAGGTGAAATTAGTGTCCCTACGTGATCCATCATGATTGTTTTCTGTTGTAAAAAATTGTAATGTTTCCACTTTTTTACTTGAACTTTCTCTTTCTAATTTAATGTTTTACTTTTCCAAACATGAAAGCTTGAAAAGCGCCCCCAACAAAGTAAAGATTTCGCGCATTATGATTTGCCAACGCATTGCAAAGTCTTGGAGGGGCACCATTGTGAAACGTCCATAAGTTCAGGCATTGTGGGGGGATTGAAGGATGGCAATCGTGTCATCGTTATAAAATGTATGTACTACATGTATGTATATGTTGTTATTGGTATTAGAATTGTAATTATAGATATCCAAAGATATGCACAAATATGTTTGTGGTACATACATCTCTACGTGCTATGAACTTGGTTCACTGTTGAGGGTATTTAAATGGCAGTTTGTACTATACAGGTATAAAAACTGTAGCTACATTGTATTCCTGGAAGCTTGTGACACGTGCCAAAAAAATAAGCTATATCGTAAGGATTAATTCGAGGATGAAGAAAAAATATTTGATGTTCGGCCAGTATTTAGAAAAGATTTGAACCAGTACTTGTTTTTGAAAACTATTTAAGTGCTTATTTTGTTTAGTGGAGTATAGATTCGTATGGTTTGACTTGTTTCCAAATTTGGGTTGTATATGTGACCACAAGTATGAGCAAGGTTACGAAGAGCGTGGGAAAATAATCAGAATATATGCACGTAAAATGCATTTCTACATAAATTAATGATGTACAATAGCTTTGATGTAGTGTGTAAATTAGTACATGAATTATGCTGTAAAATATTTGCCTTTAAGTATATATGCTTTTGTTGTTTTTTATATTTAAATTGTTAAAATGCTTCTTTCTTTTCTGAAGTGCAGTATCGTTTCGCTTGGGAGTTCCATGCGAATACATTCCACATTTGGAAACAGGTCAGATTGTCATGTAGCCCCCTTCCAACTTTTGGCCATCTTTGTGACCAAAGTGTGTGCAAAGCTTGGTTGAGCATGCAAATTGAACAAGGTACTTGTATATATGCTTTTTCTCGGAATAAATTAACGATAAGCAATGGTTTTGATAGTATGTGTAAATCAGTACATGTGTATGCTATAAAAAGCCATTCTGACGCCTCTAAAGTGTCTGTTTGCTTTTATACTGTAACGCTAGTGAACGGGACTTTTAACTTTGGACTCGTTCACCAAAAATTCTTCTTATTTTCTCTTTATGAAGGGTACATGTCATTACACAAACGAAAAGCATTTTCATATCGTGATCTCTGTTGCACGGGCTCAGTTTTTCGGGAGCATTAGTAGTAGATGTATTATTTTCTAACACACCCCTGCCTTCCTAAAGAAGTTAGAATGTTTGCCACCTTTTGGAAATGTATTGTTTATTGTAATTTTGTAAGCCATGCTACATGTGTCTGCCTTTTCAAAACCGGTAGACCTAGTGAAACTGACGTTTTACAGACGAAATCTGACGTCCTTTTTTAGACTGTATGCATCCTGTGCATGTACCGAGTATTTTCTGCGTACATTGTAGCTGGATGGTAAGTTGGATTAGATATATTCCGTGAGGCTAGTTTTCCGGCGATATGAAGACCCAAACTGGTTGGAACTTCGACTGCACGCAAGTCTTTGATACTGTATTTTAAAGGTAAAAATTGTCTGAAATATTTCCGACAAAAGTGCACTTAAAGTCATTAAATACAGTGCCTCATTTATATACATTGTAACCGAAGACGCGTTCTCAGAACAACTCATCTTTACATTGTCATATTAATGTAATTATATTTTATAAGTGACAAATTACGACTTTTAAGGAAAGGCTGTGAAATGTCGAATAAATATAGTCTGCCAGTTTTCCCGAAGAGAAATTTTTGTGAGTCTTGGTGTTGTCTCTCTGCGCGTTTCCACGCTTATGCAAGAAGAGATTGGGGCGGGGAACGACTGACCACCCTGTTGCTGATGCCAAAACCACCCGGGGAAACTTGACTTCGACGGCAGTCCAGAAAAAAAAAAGACTCAAAATATTATTTGGGCCACCATTGTCTAAAATACAGTGTATGGCAAAAGTAGAAGCCCATTGACGTATGATACAAAATACATGTAAAATCCTGTGTCAAGTTGAAACATGTTGGGGCGCTTTCAACTGTTTTCCAATTTTGTCTGTTGCTTTAAATGTGTTTGTGAGCTGCGTTAACTTGAACAGCGTAGGCTTATCTGCAGGGGGGCTATATGTAGCCGTGGAAGAGATCCAGGTGTTGACGACGAGACGTAGGCTCATACAATGGCCAAAAAGCATTCGCTGAAACAAAGTTGGAAAGGATATTCGGGCTTTCTGATCTACCCCTCTAAAAATTAACTTAAAGATAATGTAAGAAACGATGAAAAAGTGGAGATTCTTTTATTCGAATGGACGAGGAGTCCGAGCCCATTCGAATTAAATAATCTCTACCTTTTGAGTCGTTTCTCTAACAGAAACTACGTCCCTCCCTCCAGTTTTGTCCACATTGTATAAAGGAACAAAAGATCTTTAGGCCTACCAATGCTTTGAGCTGTTAGATGAATTCCATCCATTGTTTAGGGTTGGCCAGCTATGTTGGTGCAGGCGTTCACTTCGGCTGGATGCACAACGATTTTGTTCACACGCAGAGTGCATGCTTATGAAGTTAGACACAGAGACATGCAGTCAGCATCATCAGTAGTTCGTAGTGCACACCCTGTGTCTTCATTACCTGACAAGTTCAAAAGGAAGTTACCCGTGGAAATGTGCTAGTTTGTAGCCTTTGATGCTAGCGTTGTAACTCTGCGGAGCTGGGGACTTTTTACACCA